AATTCAAAACTAAATAAACATTCATATCGTATCATCCCTCCGTAATGTTTTTTATTATTAGTGTAAAACATAATTCATCAATTCCATTGCAATTGTACTTTTACCTTTCCAGTTTCATTCCCGCTTGTTCCTCGGTTTAACTGCCTGGATAAAGAAATTACACAATAAATTAGAACTTCATTTGGGAGATGATCCCTTTATAGTCATTGTAGGAAGTAATTGGAAATCCAATAACAAGTTTACGTCAGCTACTCATTTAACTAGAACAAAAGTTGCCGCTGCTTCCTGCAAAAATCTGTTTAATTTAAATTAAATCTATTTTGTCTTCCAATAAAATAGACACATTTGCTGCTGCGAGAATGTACTGAATTGCGTACATTCACCTCATAGGCATATTAATTTTTCCATTACATTGTTAGATATATATTTGTTGAAGATTAAAGATCTTTGCGGCAATAAAATACGACATACAAATAAATTACAAGACAACAAGAAATGAGCAACTGCTTGAACTCTTAACCTGCCAACTTTGTGTTATGCAATTGTCCTGCTTTTGTTCTAGAATAGTCAATTCAATGTTTAAGTGATTTTAAAATGAAAAACAAACAAGAAAGTCAGCTATAGACAGTATTTAGCCTGTGCAGTTCTCATGGTATACGGCTGGATAGGTAAAACATGGTCGATACTAGTAGCAAAGGCTAAAATGTTCACTTCCAACTGATTAAGGGTTGTGCATTCTTAAAAATGGTATTAAAGTTTAAAACTTACGCCATTGAAATTTCCGGTGCCGTTACAGCCATTCCAATTAGACCAATGCTGAAACATATTGTCTGAGTTAGGCAAGAAGTGAGTAATTCAAACTTGACAATTTGAAAGCTACTTTGCTAAACAGTTATTAGTATTATTTGTACGACTAAACCTTATAAGTATCCCCATGCTTTGATCTAGTCTTCAATTAATGCTTTTTTTAACCTACATATGTACATTTTGCTTTATAAAGACAAACATCTTCATGCATATGCATGTATGCAATATACGAACCAAATCAAACTTTATAGGTACATGTAAACCGAAAACGTTCCATGTACATTTGGAATACTTGTTTCAACAGTTACTTTCAATATTTCAATTCAAATATAATTAGTACATAATATTATTTTACACAAAGAAGCATTGATTTATATAAAAATCTACTTTGTATTTCCTTTCTCTATATATACATTTACAGTGAAATACAGTAATTGTTAGAAAAAGCAAGTCTGAAAACTCAAGAGACTGTCAAAAAAGACATCTCACCATAACGTAATTGTTGCTAGAAACATCAATGGACGTCGTTTTCCATACTTAAATGTTGACCTGTCACTCTGCATGCCAATAATTGGAGAGACAAAAAACGTCACGGCTGCAAATTGGAAATTTAACTCTATAACACCAGAAAAATGGAGAACAATTCTTCACACATTCGAGGAATAAAAATGCAATAACAGAAGGAAAAATCCATACAAACTATCCCAAAAGCAATTCAATTCCACACTTCTGTTAAAACGATATATTTACTTGCTGAAACGATAGTTATATACCGGTCAAATTATTCGTTTTAGACAGTACTGTTTATTCTGTAGAATGCAAAATTAATGTAAAATATTCATTATAAAGTATTCATTACCAGCCCCGCAAGCAACCATACCACCAAGCCATCGCCCTTTAGCTGCAGGACCTACCAAAGATTGTATTTGAGCCGGTACAACTGTAAATAATATGACATATAACGGTGAGCATATATGCAGAAAACTAGAGAAAAATATATCATATTTTAGCAATTTTTACATTCATATATTAGTGGAATATTAAATACATTAAGAATATGCAATAGTTTTTATTGTAACAGAATAGTAACATAATGTAACATGTGTGAATTATGAGCCTTCACTGTTAAAGTTATTTCATTTTCTCACCATGTAGCGAGATATTGTTTATGGACAGATCTGGTGTAAAATAATCTAATCCGATATAAAGTATGTAATAATGTAACAAATGTATCTTAACAGCTGTGAATAAGGTAACGGTTTTGTAAAATATGATTGTCCTGGCTATAAATCCGAAAGATTTATCGTTAATAAAATGCAACACTATTCACAATAGGGTATGTAAGTCTCGTCATGTGACTTGCGAGATTTCACGATATTTTGCACTTCCGGGTACAAACAAACATCAACAACATTGCTTATCTGTATTGGGTAATACTTGTATGCCGGTGGGAAAGTAAAACTTACATGGAAAAGCAAATGATTTGTGGAAATTGGCAGAGTTTTTTGTTTTTGTAACGAAATGCAAATGGTTTCATCTTGTGAACAAGTATAAATGAAAGACAACTTCGTATAATTCAGGTGGGTGTGTCATTTCAAATTCAGTTTATCCCAATAAATGTTGTAATATTTTCATTTCCATGTAAATCTAATAAATTTGTTTTTTGATACAACATCATTCGCATCTGACACCAGAATGGTGAATTTGATTTTATCAATTTTCTATAGCGCTACCTGATTATCTCTCAGAAGTATATAATGTTTAGAAATTTCGGACAGCGCATATTTCGGATAAACGTTTCAATATGATTATCAGTGTGTTTTAGTTGAATATATTTTCTTCCAACTGAAAATATTATTTATTTATAATTATTATCTTTATAAAGCACAAACAGTCAAGCTGTATATAACCAATTTAAATTGTCATAAAATTCAATGTTCAAAATATTTTGCTCCTGTATTTAGACTGAGGACAGTGGTGAGATGAAAGACGTGAACTGGTATCCGATGTTAATACACATGCATGCTCTGCTGTAAAATCGTTTTGGTAAGAAATATATACTTAAAGCTACTTAAACTACATTAATGAAAAATAAATATTATTGTATTACATATAATGTTCTCGTTTTTGTAAATAATTACAGTGTAGCTAAATAAACAAACAGTATGGCATATGTAGTTAATTCATGTTAAATACTGTTTAAAGTATTTTTCTCAAGTGAGTGGGTCATATTTTTTAGTTAAACTAGGACACCAAGAAGTGTTTCTTCCTTTTCAACATTATTTTCTATTCATGACAATATGAAAATGCTTGAAATTTATAGCTGACCAATTATTATTGCTTTCAACTCATGATAAATTTTCTTTATATACCGGTATGTGATTTCTTGGTTGGATCTTGAGTACTTGTCATGGCTCTTGATTTTATTTTGGAGTGTTCACCATCAGATTAGAAGTCAAATAGTGATACCACCAGGCATAGTTGAAAGGAAATGTCCATACACAGTCTTGGAGTACATAGTGGTAGAGACATGGCAGTCCATTACAGATTTTGACTGAATTAAAGCTTCTTAAAGCTCCATGTCTTGTGTAAACTGTCTGACTGAATGTTTGTATTCTAATAAAAACTAAGGTTGAAGACACTTCAAAGATATATGTCAGTGTAAAAATGTTATTTAAACAAAATATCTGTCTTTATTAGAAATAATTAACCTGTCATTTGTAACGTTGTATTAACTTAATTATTCAAAGATAATTTATCTTCTGCAAATGGCTGCCCAAAACAGTTTCAACCAGGCATCATGTTGTTTCAAAACAGTTAAGATAAATTTGTTATAAATAGACTTGTAAAGTAACAGGAAATGAGGAATGGTAAAAAGATAAATGTTCAGCATTAAAATGTTTCTATCTTGATTGAGTTTCATTTCATATTATCACCATGATCACTGCAATTGTAAAAGTAATGTAATCTTTAACCATTATTGAAATATCATAAAAATCATCTCAAAGAAAAACTTGTTTCTGAGGCAAGATGTGTAAAATTCCTTCCAGTTATAGCCTTTCACTGCTCTTAGAAAAGCCATGATTTGCATTGCACATGGCAGGTAGTAATACCAGAGTAAACAATATTAATGCAATTCATCTGTGTTGAGTATTCTGTAGCAAAACACTAGCTTGCTAGCCCTTGTAAGCCCAAGTCTCTCTCTTAATTGGAGAAGACTTGCAATTCTGCATTCCTTGAAGATTTTAGTATCAGAGGGGTAGTTATTACATACCATATACTTCTTTGGGTTTCAAATTACCTGTTTTATAATGTATTGAACCTGTTGACATTTGACCAAAAGTGAATTATCTTTACAATACATGCAAAACTTAGGGTTTGCACTTGATACAAAACAATTACATCACTGATACATTAATATACCAATTGGAACTGTTTCAAAATTGTCAATGTTTCAAAAAAAACAACAAAAATAAAACACCACACAATGCTTTTAACTTCTGTCCATGTACATATGTGTAAATGTAGTCATTGAAGAGCTGTCAAGAACTTTTCATCAATATTATTTAGATAGTGTCTGTTTCGATTTCAGGACAGACAAAATTCAAATGACATGCATAGTATTTAATATAGTCAATCCTTGCATATTCAAGCAATCTAGCCATTGCTGTTAGAGAATTAAATTACACAGTGACACTTATTTTGCAGATGAACTCTTATGATCAAGCACTGCTATAAATATATACCAAATAGTAGAAACAAAAAACAGTTCATAAGTTTAATAAACTTTTATTTTTACACAATTTATAGTGCACTGCTTAGCTTATATATCACACTGATTTTCCAGTGGAAGAAAAACTTCAGGAAAGCACTTGGAATTATTATTAGTTATTTGGACAATGTAACTTTACACTGTGAATGTCTACTGATACAAGAATAAGAATATTTCCTTTTACAAATGTAAAGACTTTGAAAATTAACATCAACAAATTATCATAGAGTTATAAATCATATTCTAATTGAAAAATGTTCAGCTTGATATCAAAGCTTTGAATGCAAATTTGTGAGCTTATCAATGATTACCTCACAATATTAGTAGTAGATGATATATAATATTTTTGCTAATCTTTACTTCATAGTCATTTAATGTCCATAAGGTCATATGACTATACTGTGATTCCATGAAAAACCTTATCTCTGGTGTGTTATCAGCTTTGGTATATATAGAGTATCTAGTTTTAATACTTGAAACTGCAATGAAATGTGGACATTTTACTCTGTTTCTATCATTGTGACATTAACATGTTAACAAGATCATAGTGTCAAACACCATAAAATCATACTCTTTATACATTAAGATTTTTGTGCTGGATGTCATTCATCTTCTTCAGGAAAGTACATTTGACTATTCTCAGTGGCTTATATTAAACTAATATTTCACTGTAACTGTGTGTTCTCTGATATCATTCTCAAATTAAGGAACTGGATGATGGTAGTTGCAATAAAGGTCTTCATGGACAAATCCTCCTTCATCTTTCCCTTTTTAACTGCAGAATGAAAAATCAATAAATATGTTGTTACAAGTGTAAGACACTAGAAATGATATTTACATTACATTAAATAAGCTGGTCATGATTGACAGAAAAATTTCATATTTGAAGTAAATAAACATTAAAGATAAACAACAACACATAATATATATAAGTAAAAAATATTGATCTTCTTGAATGTGAAACATGACTATTTTTAATGTTTTATTTACTTATCAATTATCATGCAGTGAAATCCAAGTTATTAATATATTTTGATAATTGTTTATCTTTCCAATCTCAACTAAAAATTAATCAATTATTTTACGTGTATTTACCTTTGATGTATAGATACATGTATTTCAGGATCATAGGCAGTGCAAACAGTTGATTAATGGTCCATATTGAACAACTGTATATTCTATACTTGTCATATACCTCCTTGTCTATACATCTGAAATGGTTTAATCAAATATTATATTTTTTTAAATCAATCATAATTTGCTAGGTACCATATTAACATGTATATATAATTGAAAAAGGAACAAGAATAAAATGGAAGGGAAAAAATATCCGAATTACTGTGCAATGTCCGAATTTTGTATAACTTTAATATACACTAGAATTAAAGTGTTTCTCCATTGTTTATTTCAACAAGTTAAAATGGTTTGAATTAATTTCTCACATCAGTAGTTTTAAATCAATACTAAAAGCTAAACAACTAGAATTCACTACCTTGACAAAACATCCGAAACAATTGTCACTATCCGAAAATAAACTAGTTTTATTAAACTCTATAAATCCCTCGTTTTTCCGTCAGATAATTGACCTACCTGCATTTTTTGACCCGTGCTATCCATTCCTTCAAATCTGAAGAGGACCGAAACAAATTTAACTTCTATATCCCTCGAGTTCTTCGGGTTACCTATATGCGTAACGGTAAATAAGTCTGCCGATGTACCCGGAAGTGGTAAATCGAAAGTGAAAGTAAACGAGACTTACGGGCCCTATTGATACACATTCACTTATATGTGAAAACGCATAATAAATTGCTATATTTCTTCTTAAATCTTTAATATATAAATTATAAATGTGGAATGTGTGTTTATAATACAATGTTTACTTATCAATCAATCTTGAATACGAACTTTATGCGTTTATTTCAAAATGCTTATAGCTACTTATTATCAACTCTGGTTAAATGCAATTTCCGTTGACAAAACATGCACATGTTACGTCGCCAACTGTTTTAAGATATTCATTGTGTGGTTATCGTATCTGTATTAATTACATGTTTATGCACATCGATGCAAGGCATATCATTTCTTTATTTTTGATTTCTCTCTTTAACTATTTTTACTATTTTCATACAATGCAAAGCGGTTGTCTTCAATAATATATAAATGGAATCATAAGTAAAACAATAACAACCGAGATGAATAAACGGACCGCTTCTTCTAATGTTAGAATCGTCACCACTCCTTATATAATTTAATAGAAGTTAGCCCGTTACTGTACTAAGGTGACGAAATATATGATATCAATTTCCAATGCAACAGTTAAAAAAACACTATAAGAAGAAAAGTAATTTTAAGAATCAGTCATTTCATATGACACGTTTTAACAGCAGAAAACGTAAAAATCAAATAATTATTTCAGAATACTTTAGCAGAAAAAGGATTACATACAAAAGTCATGCTAACTACTTTGAAAAAATCTGAAATAGTTGTGCTTACTTAAAGAAATATTTGTTATAAGAAATTCCTATTTTACTGTATATGCTAGCAAATTCTTAAAAGCTTAAGCAAAAAGAACAAATGACAGACGGTGAAGCTTATTTATTGTGAAAAGTTTCGTTTTAATAATTTCCTTGTTATCTTGCCTCTCGTTATAATTCTTATTTGCTGTGCATTTATTGACAGTTTAAAAGGATATCGGATATTGGTTGTCATGGATACAGGAAAAATATATAAGACTTAATAGAGAAAATCCTTGATATTAAAATGTTTGTCAGAGAATGTCATTTCGAAAGAGAATTAACATTGTGCTCATTTCTATAATATACATGTATATGGTATAAAGACAAGTATTCGAGAGTCTCACAAAGTCTTTGATGTCGGCTCCTTCAGATAACACATAAAAAAGTTTACAATATCTCATTTAGATATATCAGTAGAGGTATTAAATTTTACAAGCAGTTATAGTATTATGGTTCCTCTTATAAATTATGCTCCATACTTCATCAACACCTTTGCGTTCCATACTTGAGAAATGAGCCTAATTCAAATAATGACTCCAATGTAACTTTCCTTATCAGAGCAACCGGGGAGTAAATTGTCAAATTGTTTTAAATTTTAAAGAAAACACTTTTTATATAGATCTTGCGCATTAAAGGAAAATTAAGATGCTCACCTTCAACAGACATCAACAAAAACATTAGACTGAGTCCATACCACGCACAGTTTAGCAACAATATGCTTTGTTTACTTAAAACATCAACTGTCTCGATAACCAAGGTCACTTCATCTGCATCACTGTGAAATATTTAACAAATAAATATGATGTTGTTTTGTATACAGTCAAAAAATATTTAGCAAACAGTTATCTGATTATGATATTTATTGAATAGTATCTTATACAAAACAAATATTATCAATCTAATAAAGAGTCGGTATATGCTAAAAGCAACAATTCAATATAAAACCAGTTTTACCCTACATAATAACCTTAAAAATAGCTCTTATATTACATCAACGGGATTGTATAAATTATTCATTGTCTCGTGTAAAAACATCATGAAAAACACAGGAACAGAAATTGTACCAGTATTATCTATCTATATATTATTCAGCGTGTCCTATATACTGGTTCAAATAAAACGACGTGGTGAACATGCTTTTAGAATCGTAATAATATAAAGCACAGTTTACTAGAAAGTGATTAACTAACTATTTACATTCTTTTTGACATTACAGATCATCATCATCATCTAAAGCTTAGAGGATATAGTACTGATTCTGGAACAACAAAGATATACCAAAGAAAGGGGGGCTATTTTGTAACGGTGATATTCTACAGTCATGACGAGGGAAATTAACGCCGCATGTAAATAGATGGTTTGCATGGCAGGACCTTGCATGGCATTAACAGTCTTTATCATAACTACCTCCTTCATTATAAATGTAATCTGTATAAAACTGCAAAATACATATATGAGGCTTTCCAGTTAAGGAAGATATGTCTTGAAACGGAACCTGCTTCTTTTATTTTTATATAATTTGTAAATGTACGTGTTTGCTTATATGTTTATTTTGTAAACTATGTATGTTATAATTACGTCTTGGCCATACTTGTCAATTGTATTGGTTAAATTGGCCAAGGGTATGTTAAATATGCGGATTAGCCAAATAAAAACTGAAACTGATTATTATCATAGGTTACTTTAAGTCTAGGTGCTCACTGACTGAATTCATGGACATTCTTTTGGCTCAAAATTTATCTCAATCTCTTATACTTTGGAAATTGTACGGAAAATAATAATTATTATTATAATCATATTGTACTTTAAAATTAAGTCTTTTAGGGCATGACAGATGACACCCGTTCTCGATAGCAAAAGCTACATATTGTGCCTTGAAACGGGCAGATGGACCTACATGTACACTACATACATGCATGGATTCGGATAAGACTTTAAAAAGGGTGCCATGTAACAATGCTTTAACACCTTGCACGTAAATTGTTAGTTGTTTTCTGCAGAATTAAATTACTAACAAACTTCTGGAAGGTGTTGCTGATCAGGGTTAATATTGATGACTATAAAAACGTATATCGCACACAACTCCATCATGTCATGTGTGTGAATAATTGTACTAGTAAATCCAAGACATACTGCCATCTAATGTCAAAGAATATATGTTTATTGTTAAAGTCATACATTCTCTTTTACTTTGTTGTGTATTTTTAATTTTGTATCAGATATCTTTGTTTATAATTTGAGTTTATTTTTAAGGATTCAGAATACCTTAAGAGCATATACTATACAGGAATGGAACAAGAAAGATAAAGTAATTAGAATATTTTCTCTTATAACCTATAGAACCTATTTTGAAAAGAGAATATTTTTTTTTGAATTTGGTATTATAGTAAAAGTTAGGAAAAAGGAAAGATTTTTTTAAGAAAGAAAAAACTTGTTGAAAAAATAAAAATAAATAAAATAAAATATTTAATGCTCATTATTTCATTGTCAAGTTGAACTTAATCAACTATATATTTCAAAATATTGTCCTTTATAATGTTAATTGACAAACTAATTATATTGGAAAACGTTTAGGATAAAATATAAATATGCCTAAAATCTAAAAAAAAAAGACTGCCTTTTTGATAAAATAACGTTACATGTAAATTTTGATGGATATCAACAGAAATTTCCATGGGACACATGGTTTACGTATCGTTCACGCGAAATGAATTATAAAATGGAAAGGAATTATGGCAAAATATAAAATTATTTTGTCTTTCGTCTGTTCACTCCCTGTATAACCTTGGATGGTCATAACTCACTTTTAAATTAACGTTTTATGTACGACATTACAAAAATGTAAATTCCACAAATAAGGACTTAAAGTTGTGAAAAGCAAGATTTTATCTTATTTCTAGACTTATTATCTGAAAATCTATAGGAGAACATGTCAAGATACTTTCGTATCCGTTGAGAATTTGATCCAGGCAATATCTAAAAGAACGTACTTATTTGATTTTTTGTTCACAATTTCTGGATTTTACCGTATCAAATATTTATAAAGAAATGACATGCGACACTTTTCAAATTCGTTCTTTGCGAATTTTAAATGTCATTCATTATGTTAGCGGTATAAAAACCTAAATTCCTCTGACTTTTTTCCTTGAGAAATGAAATATGATATTTTCACTCATATTAAAGTTTCTTAATCGATCGACTGGAAGACCATTTTCAAATTAAATATTCGATTTAAGGTTTGGGCATGATATTAAGATTTTGACATGTTTAAAGATTTTAAAAAATCAGGACATGTTTATGTACTTAAACATTCGTGCCATGTTTTTAGATTTTAAGGAAAATCGAGACGTACTTATTGATTTAAATATTCTGGACAGGTATCTTATTAGATTTAAAGATTCTGGACAGGTATCTTATTAGATCTTAAGATTATCGACAGGTATTTTATTAGATTTAAAGATTATCGACATGTATCTTATTAGATTTAAAGATTCTGGACAGGTATCTTATTAGATTTAAAGATTCTGGACAGGTATCTTATTAGATTTAAAGATTATCGACAGGTATCTTATTAGATTTAAAGATTCTGGACAGGTATCTTATTAGATTTAAAGATTCTGGAAGGTATTTTATTAGATCTTAAGATTACCGACATGTATTTTATAAGATTTAAAAATTATCGCAAGGTATCTTATTAGATTTAAAGATTATCGCCAGGTATCTTATTAGATTTAAAGATTCTGGACATGTATCTTATTAGATTTAAAGATTATCGCCAAATATCTTATTAGATTTAAAGATTCTGGACAGGTATCTTATTAGATCTTAAGATAATCGACAGGTATTTTATATGATTTAAAGATTATTGACATGTATCTTATAAGATTTAAAGATTATCGCCAAATATCTTATTAGATTTAAAGATTCTGGACATGTATCTTATTAGATTTTAATATTCTGGACAGGTTAAGATCTTAAGATTATCGACAGGTATTTTATTAGATTTAAAGATTATCGACATATATCATATTAGATTTAAAGATTCTGGACATGTATCTTATTAGATTTTAATATTCTGGACAGGTTAAGATCTTAAGGTTATTGACATGTATCTTATAAGATTTAAAGATTATCGACATATATCATATTAGATTTAAAGATTCTGGACATGTATCTTATTTGATTTTAATATTCTGGACAGGTTAAGATCTTAAGGTTATCGACAGGTATTTTATTACATTTAAAGATTATCGACATATATCTTATTAGATTTAAAGATTATCGCAAGGTATCTTATTAGATTTAAAGATTCTGGACAGGTATCTTATGAGATCTTAAGATAATCGACATGTATCTTGCTAGTTTTAAATATTACCGCCAGGTGTCTTATTAAATTTAAAGATTATCGCCAGATATCTTATTAGATCTTATGATTATCGACAGGTATTTTATTAGATTTAAAGATTATCGACATATATCATATTAGATTTAAAGATTCTGGACAGGTATCTTATTAGATTTAAAGATTATCGACAAGTATCTTATTAGATTTAAAGATTATCGACAAGTATCTTATTAGATTTAAAGATTCACGTCTTGTTAAAGGATTTGAAATTTGTGACATGTTTAAAGACTTTAAGATTCACAACATGTTTATTTATTGATTAGTTTTTATTTACAATTAAATATTTTTAGTAAGCCAATTATTCAAAGGCATCAAAACAGCATTAGTCACTTTTTTATAGGAAGCTTTAGAGTTATTGAATGCTTCTTTGTTGGTAAACTTTTAAGTTTAGTCTGATAATAAGTTCGTTTGAAAGGAACTAATTTTGTTTACACTTTGACAGGACTTACCTGAAAACATCTACTTGGTGTTTTTTTTTTTTTTAAAGATAAATTTCTATAAAGTAGGCCGTGTAATAGCAAACTGTTTGCCCCATGTGGCTGAGGGGTTGCCTTTACGGGTTGAGGCATGAGAATTGTAGTCACTTTTTTACTCTACGTGATCGTAAGAGGCGACTATAGGAGTTCGAACTATTAATGTGTATGCATCTCTTAGCTCCAAAAGATGAAATGGTTTGACCCCTGATGTTGTTTACAGTTTGTAAAACCCAAGGATTGCCGAAATCATCTTTCCTATTTCGGCGCCATATAACGTAAACTGTGTTCGTGCGCCGTAAATCCAAACCAAACAAAAAAAAACAAAACAAACTGTGTGTTATCAACAAAGACTTTGAACAATGATATCAGCCTTTGAAATATGATTTAAAGAAGTGCAACATAACTTTTATAGTTCTCTTGTCGTATGGAATCTAATCTAATTCGTTATGATTTATATGTGACTTTTCCAAGAAGGTTCGATCAATATGTACTTTAATAAGTTATAAAGGGTTCGCCATTTATCTTATATAATTTACAAGCAAATCCCTGATATTGCACTTTAAATTCTTGCTAGGATACCATTTTATAACACATGCAAACCTCTCCATTTTAATTTAAAAAAAAATGAATCAAAGTGCTGACAGCACTGGATGTGACTGATAGGAATGCAGGGCTTTACTTGGTGTAACATAATAATTATTGAACCTGTGTAACAGAAAAAATGAATGTAAAATGTATATGTGTCATATTAATTCATTTGTTGCATTGTGTGACCTTGTATAAATATTATTAAAATGCTGTAAGAAAGTCATATACGTATTTAAATGATGTCGATCAGAAATTCAATGACATAACAATGACATAACATAACAAAAATATGTTATCATTTTCTACAAACATTTGCACTTTTGTTAAACATACAATCTCCTTTTATCCTTTTACTCAGATTTAAATCTGACAAATGAGGAGGAACTAAATGATGATTAGTTCTCTTAAGAGCGGAAGAATCTGCAGATTTTGTCTATTATGTTAAATCAAATCCATAATTTTTGCTTAATTCCTCGTAAAAATAAATGATTCTATATATTTTCTTTGTCATATTTTTTTCTTCTCATTTTAGCAGAAATGGGATTTTTTTAACTTATCATTACATAATGTCTTGTATATTGGATCAACCTACTATGTATTATTTCTTCGGGTGGTGCCTTGAACAAACTTAGTGATCTTTGATTTCAAATTGGTTTTATGTACGTTACAAAGCTCCTCATATTTATTAGTTTATTTAAGTATCATCCATTACATGTACATATTGGTATAAATATACATTCAATAAAACTTAAAAATACATGTAAATGGTCATTCTTATAAAGAATTATAAGAGACTATATGTATGTTGTTACAAACAAGTTACAAGTATCATAATATGCAATCCACATTTAAAAGGTTAGATCAGATTAAACCTAACACAGAAAGGTATTTTACATAATCATATATGAGCAGTCCAGTAAGATCAAATAAAATACATATCTAAGAAGTAGTTGTTTGACTGATAATATTACTTAACTATTAGAGAAAAACTTTAATTTGTTACAATACTTTAAAACAGCTAAGATGTCTAATTCTTTACACTTTAAAATATCTTAAAAAACAGCTAAGATCTTAAATTCTTTAAAAAAGTGATATCACTAAAAGGCCTTTTTTAGAAACAATTTTCATTGATAAAAAAGTGTTAAAATCAAATAAAAACTATATATATAAAAAGACCTAATCATAACACAAGCATTTTGCACGTTTTTCTAATGTGGTAGCGCATCTGTCGCAATAATTATTCATATCATTCTAGTTAAAGATAAAACAAGCAAATAATTGAAACTGTTGTTGTTTACAATATGTTTGAGATTTTCAATACAAATCTGTAACAAATTAAAGATTAATTTCTACTTGAAACCCAATGCTGATCAACATTCATTTTTTTACAATTTAATATAATTTATTGATAAGAAGTTCATAATTATAAATCACATGTTTTTGTATTCTTTGAAGCTTTAGCTTCAGTAATATTTTTTGTCATCAAATCATGAAATTGTGTATCAAAAACAAATTGCGAAGTTAATATTAATTCAAAATTGTATTTTTATACAGATTCTAGTAAAATTAAATTAGCCTTAAAATTGTCTTCCTTTTTCTTTTTTCGCTAAATTTAATAAACGATACCCTATTTTTCTGAAGGAAAGTAATAAGATTACAGAAAATGTCTCCTGTCGTTTCTTTATAAATATTTTATTCTGAAAAATGTCATGTTATCCTTAACAAAAAAGAAGAAAAAAAGGAGAAAAAAGCAGAATATCTAAAAACGTTTTGCCTGGATTGTGTCCCTAGAGATACAAAAGAATGTCATGTTAACACGAAATTACTCTAACAGATTCTTTCAAAATAAGTCTAGAAATTTGATAAAAAATATTGCTATTGACATCTGCTTGATCTTTTTCTTGCGGGTTAAACTTTCTCGAGATTCTTCTTTTAATGTAAAAAGGCACGTATAAGAGTACTTTAGGATTTAACCTGAGGTCTGTAATTTAATAGATTTAATTACTCTCCCGTTTTGAGAAGAATACAAAAATACATATACATTTCTTTGCACGGAGAATTAGGTCGCTTTGTACTTTTATATATAACCTTGTCCGTATGTGAGAAGTTAGCAGTGAACAGTGAGCTAAGCAAAAAGGCATTTCAATTTATATAGGGAAAGTAATGATCTGCTGTAATGCTCAGCTGTTTTGGGCATCTAGCAGGGCATTCCTAAATATAGTGTAAAAATGCTCTGCTGCAATACTCAGCTGTCTTGGCAATCTAGCAGAGCATTCCTAGCTTTAGTGAAAAAATGCTCTGCTGGAACGCTCAGCTAGCTAGGCAATCTATCAGTGCATTACTAAATATAGTGTTAAAATGCTCTGCTGGAATGCTCAGCTGGCTAGCTAAGCTGGCTATGCAATCTAGCAGGGCATTACTTAATATAGTGAGAAAATGCTCTGCTGGAATGCTAAGCTGGCTAGGCACTCTAGCAGGACATTACTAAATATAGTGTAAAATTGCTCTGCTGGAATGCTAAGCTGGCTAGGCAATCTAGCAGGACATTACTAAATATAGTGTTAAAATGCTCTGCTGGAATGCTCAGCTGGCTAGCTAAGCTGGCTATGCAATCTAGCAGGGCATTACTAAATATAGTGAGAAAATGCACTGCTGGAATGCTAAGCTAGCTAGGCAATCTAGCAGGGCATTACTAAATATAGTGTAAAATTACACTATATTTTTGAATGACCCGCTAGATTGCTTAGCCAGCTGAGCATACCAGCAGATCATGTTTACACTATATTTTGGAATGTCCCGCTAGATTGCTTAGCCAGCTGAGCATACAAGCAGATCATGTTTACACTTTATTTTGGAATGCCCCGCTAGATTGCTTAGCCAGCTGAGCATAACAGCAGAGCATTTTTACACTATATTTTGGAATGCTCCGCTAGATTGCTTAGCCAGCTGAGCATAACAGCAGAGCTTTTTAGTTTTTAGCCTAGCCAGCTGAGCATACCAGCAGAGCATTTTTACACTTTATTTAGTAATGGCCTGCTAGATTGCTTACCCAGCTGAGCATACGAGCAAAGCATTTCTACACTTTATTTTGGAATGCTCTGCTAGATTGCTTACCCAGCTGAGCATTACAGAGCATTGATTTCCCTATATAAATCGTAATGCCTTTTTGCTTAAGCTCACTGTTAACTGCTAACTTCTCACATACACCTTGTCCTTGTGTTTTATTAAGAGGCATACATGTATATTATAATTTTGCGCGGACAGTTTGTGACCACATTCTTGATAAGAAGTTGTTCTATTAAACACGGCGCAACACCCTCAGTAACATTTCTAGTAAAATATGTATATCATTTTATAGTTGAAAATAAAATGATATTACACCATATAAAGTATTTTGCTTTAATTGTTTTCATAATCCCATTATCACAAAGGAATAAATATCATAATTAAGACCAGTATAATTTTCACAAATGTATGCGCAGGTTAGGTTCATAGTTTACATAAATATTTTGTCATATATTTATCAATAGGTATAATGTAAAGCAAAATGGTAATAAGAAACATTCAGTATGTTTTAATGAAAACGACTGTTTGAGTTAAACAACGTGCCAAGTAACGACATTCCTAGATTTTATCTTATTTGTTTCCCTGCAAATTAACAGATTAATTTAATAAATGTTTTTAAATGTTCATAGTAGCATTTATCAGTGTAATCTGTTTAAAACAATATAAACAATGTCATTATCTTCATCAAACATTTTCTTTGTTAAAAATGGGGTTAACAAATCAAATGCTAATTCGTCAGGTTTCTTTCCTCTCCTTGTCATCGGTCGAATGTTTCAATACTATAACGTTAGTATTTTCACCTAGCTGCTAAGGGGGCGTACTTTTTCTCCTTAATCACATAAATTTTACCTGTTCGATTCTTCGGTGTAAAACTTTGCAGCTTTTTCTTTATCAACAAATGTTGCAGATATATCACCAGGTTTCTTCTTCTCGGTGGGAAACTCCTCGGTGGACCCTGATACGGTCGTCATGGTAACCTGCAAATAATTAAAAAATCTAATTATCCATGTACATCAGAAACAATGGACGGGGTCATATTGTAAAATCAGGAACACATAAAATGATGTAGTGTTTCCTGAATATTTGGGACTATGTTGAGGTAATAAAACATTTTCCAAAACTTGGAAATTTCCAAAGAATTTACAAGCAATGTGTAATTTGTGATTCTTTTGAAATATCTTGGCAATAATCATTTATAAGTATACTTGTACAATATGACTATTCTTATAGTGCCTTTTCAGTGTGAATAAAATAAATGATTTCTATCTTTTTTCTTCACTCGACAGCAAACTGCTTCTTTTAAGATATACCTTATAAAACGCAAAATATCTATTGTTGATTTCTTTCTAGCATCTGTTTACTAGAACAAATTCATTCAATATTTAAATTATACTACATCTTTAATGTCTATAATATTCAGGAGGTCATAATATAATTTTTTCATTTAGATGCAATACATAATGTTTCAATTTTAACTTAATTTAGCAGTTTTTGCATACAAAAATCTTCATTTATTCCATTCATTTTCAATATTTAAGTATTAAATACATGTAGTAACATTTCGGTGTGAAGTTTGAGATAGTTACATACAATAATAAGACACAAAACAGAATTGAACAAAATTTTATGTTTGACTTGTACATAGTACATTATCATACGTAATGTGATAGACACATTTATCAAAACAATACATTTTTAAAAGTAGTTTTTATATTGTGTTTAAGAGTTTTTGTTTAAGATGATAACGATCTGTGTACATGTTTCCTGCATCAATCTATAATTTTACGGACTTTTTCTTTCAGTTTGATCTCTTTTGAGCATTTTTCCCCAATTAATATTTAGAATTTAGGCAAACGTGAACGTATTTATAATAATAAAATACACCCATGAATTTCTTACACATTTTCTTTGTATAGTTCTTAATAACAACAAATTGCTAAAAATATAAAGTGCTAAACTTGGTTTATCAATTTTAATATGCACTTCTTCGGTAATGTGTTTTAAATGGCCATGAACTTTATATTCTAATCTATTGGTCTCATATTAATGGAATTTTCTTATTGAGTTTAACAATATATAGATATATCATTTGTATATCGATGATGTCCACCAAATGAAAAAACGTACCATACTAGCGATTGGAAGTCTTCTTATATAAACATAAGTTTATATATAAAATTATATGTCAGATACAAAAGCTATTTTGCGTGCAAATCCATCGATTATATTGTAAGCTGTCTGAAATGTTATAATATAAAAAAAAGAAAACGAATGCAGCATGTGTTACAGAAACACAAGAACGAAAACTGCCCCTCATAGGAATATCTTACACAACATTTTCCCTAGTGCACCAATATAAAAAGGCACAATTGATTCAGTGCACACCATTTAACAAAAAAGAAGCAAACACTACTGACGCTACCACTGTAAAACTTAATTAACTTTACCTATTTTTGTCATTGAACGCTCCTTATAAATCCGGGCAATGACGTCATACATATAACACCATGTTATAATCTAATATACATACTTTACTTACAAACATATGAACAAAATATTTCTGCAATGTTTATTTTACAACATCTGTGACCCATGTTTGGCATTGGTCAATAAATTGATTTAATACAGGGTGTGAAAGCAACGTCTAAGAATGTCAAATGGCTTTTCTATGCATATTCTTTGACGTTTAAGACAGCAGCTGTTCGTGTCAATTAATTCATAAAGTTCATATTTGATTGGTTATCATACACATGTACAACAGATATCAAAACATTCCTTAGAATAAAGATCCAAGTCTTAGTTCAATAACATTTTATTGTATGTGTTCGTGCATATAGTCAATATATACATACAAGAAAATAATATAAGCAAATGGATTGTGCCACGAGCTGTAACATAAGCAGCTGACGGCCCGTTCCGAGTTTAAACGTATGGTTAATATAAGCGAACATGGCTTACATTTGTAAGAAACTGTCAGAAATTAGTAGATTCCGAGTTTCTATACGTTCTTTTATAAATCCTGGAAGCGAATATTAAAACATCCACTAGCACGAGAGCGTGACTTATCACAGGAACCTTAACAGATGACTACCTTAACATTATGTAAAAACTAAAAATCATGGTAATTGAAATTCATGCAAACTTTATTCGTAATTTTGCACTAAAACTTAGAATAAAAATCAAACAAACAGCCTCCAGACCAGATTATAAAATCGTTAACATTCGGCAATTTCCGTGTCTTATTTCACGGAAATGTTAGGGACGTAAGTTGACGATGTTGACGAAATGATACAAGTAATAGAATTTAAGAAAACCTGACCGTTTTACCTAGGACCATGATCTTATTATTTCCCTGTAATGTGTGTATTTCATTGTCATTTTGATAGAAGAATATGTAAAAAAAAAACGCCGAAAAAAGCGTTATACAGACGTTTAAATTTATTTAAAACGTTTCAGTCATCTAAATAACATCATAACGAAATTGAACCATTTATGTAATTTAAGCCGGCGACTTCTCACGGCCGAGATGTTATTTCATCGAACAATACACATGATAGATATTAACACAATACAAAATGATATACATCTTGTTGTCTCGTCAGCATAGATATTTGTGTTTAGACTTGTGCTTTCTGTTTTTACAATAAATAACATATGTTCATATTCATATATTCCTATGATAAAAATCTTTAATTTCTGTAAAGCCTTAAAGCGATAACTCTGATAAAAATGTAATTAAAATAACTAGTTAATTTACATTCATTTATACTACTTTTGAACTCACAATGTTTCCAATACAAAAACTGTAAACGTTATTTTGTTATTTCAAATAATATATTGAATTAACATTTATGAAAAAAACTATACATGGTACTTATAAATTACGCTCTGATGAGCCATAATCTAACGACAGATAAATCAACAATAAACAACAAATGCTTACCTTTTTCCTCTTAAAATTGCCCAAGTAATGAAAAATTATATATCACGCCTAGGTGTTATGTTGTCCAAATGTCTTATCCAGCAAATTTATCCGCCAAAACATCTTTGTAGCTTAAGCATATTCAAGATAATAATCCTTCGACGGTAAAAAACTTACTAAAACACCGCACTAAAACTTCCTTAAAGGAGACAAAAAGATGATGAAGCTTCGAGCTGTAAACATTATTATCATTACACGGGAGAAGGCATCGATGGTGTTTGAAGATCAATACAAAATTGAAGTTAGAAGTAACATCACTGACTAGTATAGCTATCACTGAATGACATGAATGTTAGACATGATGGCAGAGACAGATGCTGGTATATCGATCCTTTCTCGTTATACAGCTATTATTTTTATGAAATATACTAAATCAATATGGTACATAAACATCTTAAATATTTCATCAGCTGGGTGTAATCGATTAGCATTATTCTATCTTGTTTGTACAATGATATAGGAAAATTTGAACGTCTGGAGTAGTGTGGTTTAGTAGAGTGAGGGGCTCGGAGTATCTTACGGCGTTCTTTCATTTTGTTTAAACTATATCTGTATTGATTAAGTTTTCGTTAATAAAAACAAAATGAATGTCAATATGATCTGAAACAATTATCGGCGAGTGTCATGAATAGAATAAAATCAATGATTACATTGCAATCAATAATAATTAATTAACGTTCTTGTCTTTGAAAAACTCCTAAAGGTATTACATATACCACTTGTTCAGTAAATTCGGCACTTTCCGTCACTTTTCGTATTTATTCGGTTGTCACAGAGCTTTTCGAATGACGATAAACCGTCTTCTTATGTTCTCGTTTCCTCTTACATAAGTACCAGAACAAGAATTAGAATCCAGACGTCAAGGAATGTAGTTTGTGGATACATTTTTTGAATAAAAATCATGAATTAGCATTTCATAAAAATACTAATAACTTATTTTTTAATTTTCATAAAACTGGTGCTTTATACATATATTTAATCTAGTAAGAACATGATCTAAAATGTATAAAAAATAGCTTTAATTCTTCATCGGACTTATTTTTCGCTCGCCTAAGTATGTGGTCCATCTGGTAATAACTTAAGGTGATAATTTCAGTACTGCTATTATCTCAGAAATTAGAAGTCTTATTTTTGTATCATGATTTTTTTTTGCTGTTGGATTTAAAACCACATCAACACTGTTCAGTTCATGTGGCAACTAATCATTGCATTATTTCAGGTACTACCTGAATAGAACCACTGACCTTCCATAACTTAGCTGGACAGTTTCCTCACATGAAAGATTTAAAATCCATGGCATGTTTCGAAACCGCAGCGGTAAAAGATCAGTGGTTCCACGTCATGGGGCCAAAAACATAATGGATGGAATTTTAAGACCATGTCTTATTAATACTCATATCATATACGCTCAACACGGGAGATAACACATTTCTTAGAGTTCTAGTTAAATTGATAATTATATTACAAATTTATAATAAAAACGACAAGAATGATGTTAAACTTTGACCTGTTTTAAAATGAATAAATCGTACAAATGCTTCCAAAATCTTAAGGATAGTTAATTTTTTCTTTGTCAATCGAATTACACTTAATACGTATCTTTAGCAAATATATAGAGTGTACCATTTGATAATAATATTTATGATTCGCTTACTAGAAACATATATTGTTTATCAGCATCTACGACTAAACAGATCGTACGTTATACCCAGTCCGTGAACGAGATGCTTTAATACTAGTTTACATTTACCGTCAAATTGTCAACCTATACCTGTACATTTTGTATTTGACAAAGTATCACATGTTATCTATCCGTCAACAAATCGATGCCAACAGTTTGAAGTATTAAAATTAGGTCACATCAATTCGCGTTCTATCGGATTACAACGGTTTAAAATAACACATTGACATGATAAGCTGAAAGCAATAGATTGAATAGCAGCATGTGCTATTTGCTGCAGACAACAATATAAATCGACATAAAATGCTTTGTAATGTAATATATGCCTGCGTATAAGAATATAATCATTATGTCATTGAATTTTTTTTGCATCTTATTGACTCAAGCTCTCTCTTGCAAGAAAATTAATTATTATTTAAATAAACGTTTTTTACAAAAGTTAATAAAACTGTACATATACATATGTAAATTTGCCAGAAAATTTCTTATATGTCTTCACATATTTTCAATTGTTTTATGTCATTGAATGGGATTGACCATTTGGTATGAAATTGTTCTTAGAACGACCCGATGTAAATTATTTCTTTACAGGAATTATGGTATTTTGACAAACGAAATGTAGAGAAAATACTGATATTTATATTACTTATATTACTGATATTGATCAATTCAATGATATACTTACGAAAGACCGGTGGGGACATTTCAACTTCCTGAATTCCCGATTACAGCTTCATGAATTCTCGATTACAACTTCATGAAGTTGAAATCGTGAATTCATGAAGTTGAAATCGTGAATTCAGGAAGTTGAAATCGTGAAATTCGTGAAGTTGAAATCGTGAATTCATGAAGTTGAAATCGCGAATTCGCGAAGTTGAAGTCGTGAATTATCGAGGCTGAAATCGTGAATTCGTGAATTCCATATGTTGAAAACGGGAATTCACGAAGATTAAATTGTGAATTCATGAAGAAAATCGGGAATTCATGAAGTTGAAATGGCCCTACCGGTCTTTCGTATATACTAGTATATACTAATATACTTTCCTGACAAGAAAATAAGTCAACTGCAATACGAACTATAACATCTTCGAATCAATTCAATTTTACAAAAGCATCGTTCATTTTCCTCGAATTTTAATTTGGACATATTTCTGACCTCTAAGAAACATATTTTATATGTATTATACAGAATTATCAAACTGAACACACGTACAGTGAGTAAAAGATATTGTCTTAGCATTAGGTTGAAATACGCATACTTATTTAGCGATTGGCTGTATTTATTCAAAGACTTACGATTTACTGATAAAAAATCATCATCATCATCATCATCTCAAGTGATTGCATCACTCCGCAAGGAGTATACTCGCAATAGGGTAAAAACTGTATATACATACGCAGTAGGCAGGACTGACTGTTTTCCAAAATAAAAATAAAAAGTTTCCCTATTTACAGTATCTATTAAAAGAGTAAAAACAACTCCGTGATTAGTAGTTTATATGTTGGCTGGCCAGAGCTGATTGGAAAGCATCCAGGCTGGTCTGGTCAACAACGTCTTGCGGCAGCTTGTTCCAAAGCACGATGGTTGCAGGAAAGAAGCTGTTTTGGAAGATGGAGGTGCGTGCTCTGATTTGGCGGAGGCGTTGGTTGTGCCCTCTGACAGTCTTAGCATTGATAAGTGGAGGATCTGGTATAATATCCACAAGGTTGTGCATTATTTTGAAGAACATAGTTGTTCTGGTGTTGTTGCGCCGGTGTTGGAGGGTGTCCCATTTGAGGTCGGTAAGCATGTCGGTGACGCTGCTTGTTCGTGTGTAGTCTTGTTTCACGAATCTTGCAGCGCGACGTTGGACCATTTCTAGTTGGTCTAGTTCAAATCGAACAGGAAGAAAAGTAAAAACATGAAAATTAAACATCTTATTAATTGCTTATTTATCGGACTTCCTTGTTGTTGTTGTTTTTTTATTTTATTTACTTAAATTCAAATTTCAAATTCACTGTCATGAAATCATAAAAAAAAATCCCAAAGACAAACTTATTTGTATAATTAAATTTATGTAAATGGTAATACATTTTCTGTTCCCTTTTAAAGCATTGAATGTATATAAATTGTTATGAAATATACAGCAGCGTTTCAAAATCACAGATTCTTTTATTATACTAAGAAAGCCCTATTATAGCCTTATTCGTCATTTTCCGATTATGGGCTCGTAGCTCCTCAAATCTGATAGGTCTAGTTATTATTCTCATTATTATTATTATTATTATTATTATTATTATTATTATTATTATTATATAATGATCATTGTCATTATCATTATTATTATTATTATTATTATTTTTATTATTATTATTATTATTATTATTATTATTATTATTATTGTTAAAATTATTATCGTCATTATCATTATTGCTGTTATTATTATTTAATCGGGGAAAAGATATCATTATATAACTATTGCTATTAATGCTATTATTATATTATCAATATTCGTTACCATTTATGTTGACAAGGGAAGTAAGCGAATTATACCACATATTACAATGTACATTATTATAGCAATAGGTTACATCCCTTGGTTCTGTTAGCATTATCAGACAAATCTTTACTTCCGATGTGCATGTTTCTGACAATGCGTTATGAAGATCTTATAAATTTTCAAATGATTTATTTTGTCATAAAATAAACTTAATTTTGCACCTTTCATAAACATTTTAGACTTCCTTTTCAATCTTTCGATGTATTACGATAAGATAGAATCTGCTTTCCAGTAAATTAATTTTGACTTGTTGATAAAAAGATATACTTGTGTATAAAAAGTGTTTCTTATTAACTATTATCACAAAGTTATGTTAATGATTTGAATGATATCACAAAAAAGTCAACGTATAGCGGAATCAGTTATTGTAACAAGCTGTTGATAATTATGTCGAACGCTGATAACAAATTGCACTTGGAATGTTTAAGGGGAGCGGTGGCCTAGTGGTAAAGGTGTCTGCCTCTCAACCCAGGGATCTTGGGTTCGAGCTCTAATCGTGTCACGACCATGTTTCTTCACATAACACCAGTACTGGTTGGTTCCAGGAAGCGGACTCGAAAGTGATTAATATAAGTTGCAAGAACTTGTTTCGCAATCGAGCTTGAATAAATGTGTTTACACTAATGTTCGATGCAATCGGAAACAAAACCGTATTGCAGAATGCTAAATTTAAGCGACTTTATCTTTAATTTGATTAAATGCTGATAATTAAAGACATAATAATCTTAATATATCTCTGACGGCTCAGGCACAGCAAGACCAAACTGTACACTCGTGAGTAAAAGATCTTTCTACAAAACAATAATGTTTTGGCAGAAATACGCGTATATTTAATTAAATCAATTTACTGATAAAATATCGACCAGGAAGAAAAGTAAAACCTCAAAATTGAACGTTACTTATCTACCAGACTTCCTTGTTGTTTGTCAATTGTATGATAATTACATTCAAATGTAAAATGCAGTGTCATGAAACTTTAAAAAAACAAAGACTTATTTGTATAATTGAATTTATGCAAACGGTTTTTTTTTTCTGTGCCTTTTTTAAGCGCTTTGCAATGTATATAAATTTTGAAATTATGCTGGTAACGCG